AGAGAGAGAGAGAGAGAGAGAGAGAGAGAGAGAGAGAGAGAGAGAGATTGGTGACTTTGGGATTTCACGACATTTGGATCCAGACTCGACATTGGGATTCAAACATTTGACGAGGGATTACTTGGGAATGTACCGAAGACTTGGTGTTGACAACATTCCCATCTTCCCCTCTTCTTCGTCTAACCCCCCATTTCTTCGTCTGTGTATAGTTGGGGACTGGCGCATTCTTCCTGTGTGAGCGCCAGGCCCCTTCACACCATGGAATGATGATGATGTATGTTTGGTCTGCATGGCAACATTGATTGTTCGGATCATTGGTATTTAAGCCTTCCGCTGTGTTATCTTGTACTTTGTGAGAGAGGTCGGTTCTTGTTCTGGTCTGTGCCGTTACGGTATGTGACACTATTTGATCATAAGTGTGTGTGGATCGCTCTCCTGAGATATTGAAAGGTACGCTTGGCCGGCATATGGACAGCAGCTGCATACCCTAGCGTAGCAAGCACCGAGGTTTCAATGACAATGGCTTTACCAAACACTCCCATACTCCCCCTCCTACTCCACGTTTTAAGTCGGGCCACCAACCCCGTCTCTCTTATCGCCATATGTTCGACCCCTCCATAGCTCGGCGCTATGCTAGCTCCTAAAAACCTCATTCTCTCTCCGTCTCCAGCTGTCGGAATATCCCAGCCTTCCGGCGGGGCTAGCCCCGACAGGGGGATGGCCTTCGATTTGCACCAATTGAACCGTGCCCCGGAGTACTTGCAAAAAGTCTGCAAGTCCTCTTTCAGGATATTCAATTGTTGGGTCGTTGGCGGGATTACTGCAAATGCCGTGGACTGCAGCTCCGCTGGCCGGCCTTCATGCTGACTAATCTATCACCCGCCCTCAAAATGTTATGCATTGATTCAATGCAGATGACATAGAGGGCAAGAGAAAGCGGGCACCCTTGCCGCACCGATCTGGTGATCACCATTTTGTCAGATCTGACGCCGTTGATTTGCATAACAGTTGCTGCTCATGTCAGCAGAGTTCTGACCCAGCCTCGGTAGATGCCTCCAATCCCTCTGCGTGCCATCCCTTGTAGCAAGAATTTCCACCGGATCCGGCCGTACCCTTTCTCGAGGTCGATAGATACAAAAGCTTGCGCACAACCTGTGCATTGGGCCTTTTCAAGAATCTGTTGCACGAGGGTTACTGTTGAGAGGATCTGTTGCCCCGCCACAAATCCAGTTTGTGTGGTGTCAACAATTTGCAGTAGCACTTCCTTCAGGCCGGTTGCCACGACTTTTGCCAGAATCTTATACATTGCATTGAGGATAGAGATTGGGTGCCAGTTACAGACATCATCCTTCGCTCCCTTCTTATACAGGAGGATGATGAACACGTCTGCAAAGCCTCGCGGGAGGACACCAAATTTGAGTGCTTCATTGTACGCCACTGTTAGCAGGATGACGTAAAAAATTTGGAAGTCCTTCCACAGGCACGTCGTCCATCCTCGCGCCTTCAGTCGGGGGAGCTCTGCTATTGCTCTCTCCACCTCCTCCGGCTCGATGTCTTCTTCCAATGTGCTCTCCAAGTCTAAGTGGTCCCGGACATGCCTCCATACTTCCTGCTCCGGTGCTTCGACCTTGGCCTCTGAGGTCCATTGGTCTTCTTCCGTCAGCAGCTGACGGTAGAAATCTACCACGCACTTCAATATCCCTCGTGTGGTACGCTGTTGGCTCTGATGCTCGTCGAAAGGGTGGTTCATCACCGTCATCAGCAGGGTCGTCTTTCGCATAGTCACAGTGGCAGAAAACTTTCGTGACATCAGCTCCCCTATCACTATCCACGGTTCCTTGGTGCATCTCCCCCATTCACCGCCACTTCCCTTTGCCATTCCTTCCACACTGCCGCCGCCTACACCCTCTCTGCCCACCATTCATCTTCAGTTTGCCCTACAACAGGTCCAGTATTCAACTCCTCCATTCTGTGCACATATTCTTCACCGGTCCTTTGGTGAGCAAGGTAGTTATTGCACAGTTGTTTGCTCAGGCTTCCCCGCAGATCCTGGATTGCTGTGGGGACATGGTCCATGATGTTCTCCTGTGGGCAATCATCCGTCCACTGTTCCCAAAACTGAGCAATCATTGGCCGGCATTTCACGCTTTTGAACACCCATGCAGGCACCGTTCTTGGAAGGTGTCCGGTCTCCAGCCTTCAGAGCGGATAGCTCGCAATCACTGCGGCGTGGTCTGACGTCGCCATAGGGCTCATGTGGACTTGCTCCACTTCTACAGTAAGGGCCGCTGATGCCCATATCATATGAATACTGCTTCTTCTAGATGCTGTGTTACCCCAAAAGGTGTACACTTTCTCTTGTGGATACAGTGTCCGTTACAAATCTGTGCATCCCAAGTCCGTCATGCTATTTGTGAGTGCCAGCGAGTCAGCCTCCACATGTCTTGCTGTGGCTGAGTCTGAAACTGGATCAGAAAACCGAGTTGAAGTCCCCAGCAATAGTGCCAGTCCTTGACTCCTCTGGGAGACCAGGATACAAACACCCCCTTTCGTTCCCTGCTCTAGGGCCCACACCTGATGACCCTTCCACCACAGCACCGGATCCGCAGTCATTCCTTCATTCAACTTGGTCTCCTGCAGGAAGACCACATCAACCTGCTCCTGTCTAACCTTCGCCGCCAATTCCCTTCGTTTGGGCAGCAGCGATCTTGCCCCCATACCTCTGACGTTCCATGGGGGGTGTCACCTTTCCTATGACACCCAGCAGGATAACATATCCTTACTCCCTACACTCCCCCCTTTTCCATATCCCTTTGCCACTCAAGAACTGCTTTCCTCCCACCTGGTCGTCCCGCAGAAGCCGTGCGTTAACACTGTTTAGAACGGCAAGGGAGGTTGAATGAATAACATGAATGTCCTGCGGATGCGCCGCAGAGCCAAACACTGCTGCAAAAGGGATCCACTGCAGGCTTCCCATGTTCAATCTCGGGCGGCCCGTTTTTTTGGGGATAGATTCGACGAAGTACAATACTATTGTATATTCTTTTCCCTCCTGTGTCCGATGGATGAATCGTTGCCGAGATGCCGGGCAGAGCCATGATTTCGTGTTTAGGCCCCGTCCAGCGTCATACTTGTTCAAGAACCTGCTGCTCTCTTGGGAGTTCCATGGTGCAGTCCATCAGCATTTTGGCTACTTGTGGCGTCCTCCATAGAGTAATGAGGCATACATAACATTCCCCCTCCTTCAGAATGGCCGCCCGTCCTGTCTCAGCCCGCTCTTGTCGTACCAGATCGGTCAATGGCTCCTGCCGTTGCTTATCATCTTTTTCCCCATCAGCTTGTACCGACTCATCCTCGAGGGCCCTTTCCTGTTGCTCGTCTGCTTGTGTTGAATCCTCCATGTGCTCCTCCCCTCCCATGTCTACTTCTCGTGATTCCTCTTCTACTTCCGCCCTCTCCTCTTGCTCTTCCATTTGTTTTTGATCCGATTGGCCAGTCTCCGATGTATCCGATCTGGAAGTGTCCGGTCCCAAAGTGCTCAAAGTTCCATTCTCCTCTTCAGTATTCACTATCCCCTCCATCGGCATCCCATAACTTGCATCCCTCGGGATAGGGGAGAGCGAAGGTGATGGCGAATCTTCTCTGCAACCTCGTCCTCGCAGTGAGTAGTTCAGCTCCTGCCCCGTACCTCCCATTGGAGAGCGTTCCCTTTCCAATGGCTGCCACCCTCTCCAGGTATGATTTTCTACCAGGTACGGTAGCCGGTTGTAAGACTTCATCCACATAGACAGTACTTGATCATGCCAACACACGACAAATCATGCCATTATATGACGAACACTGCACACGCATCTGGAATAAATCCGGACGCAAAGAAACTCGAAATCTTTGATACAGCACATGACTCCATCCACATAGACAGTACTTCGTCATGCCATCACACAACGAATCATGCCATTGCATGATGAACAATGCACAAGCATCTGGATTCTTTTTCTCTTTTTTTTTTAGAACGACCCGAACGATTGCTAGGGGTGCTGATAGGAGCAGGCACCTCTAGTACTGTCGGGGAGGACGCAAAGAAAACTAAAAATTTTCAATACAGCACAAAATCTCCACTTGTAACTCGGTTGATCGTGCCACTCCCCCAAGAACCACCGACTTGACCCACATTCCACGTCATGCCGCCTTTCGCGATTACTGCTTACAGTGTCAACGCATGTGCTAACAACGTTGATGCGAGCGGTAACACCATAGGCAGTGATTGCTATTAGCAGTAAAAGAGATGCTCCACTATGAATTACCGCCGATTATACTTCACAAATCCTCGTCAAATCTACGCATGACCAAAATGAACCAGTCAAACCAGTCTTCGGCCGAATGTTGCCTTTCACCTGGTAGATTCGAGTTCGAATCCTCACTACCTACCTACAAAATCATCCTCTTACGACCGATCCTTACTGATCTTAAACCATGAATCCAGGCCGACCCTGTTCACCACACACGACCTGATAGTAACTAACCAGTGCCCCGGTTCGAGACCGACCATTCTTCACAATTCGGCCTAATCTCAAAAGGTGTGCAGGTTCAACTCCCGGCATCACCTCCCACTGCATTACTCTGTACGATGGGTGGGACCCAGACCCTGGGGTTGTCACCCTCTTAAAACAAAGAAAAAAGAAAAAAGAAAAATGGTCTCTACTTAACCCTCCTTTTTAAAAGCTATATTCTTCTCTCAATTTCGTCTTCCACTATCTACCCACCACTACTCCTAAGCCTATATAGGAGTTGGGTATATTATCGCATTCCCATGCCTTTGCGTTTTTTTTTTTTTTTTTTTTAATAAATAAACCACGAGTACCTCTCCCAGTCAAATGTTTCCAAATTCCAATGCATTTGTAATTTGTATACAACTGCGATTTGGGGGAGCTCAGAACTACTGGACCTCTTTGGCCGCCAGCCAAAACGAAAAGAAAGTGAGAAGCACTACTGCTTTTCTTTTTTGGCACACTGCACAAATCCACGTTGGGAGAGGCTCAAAGGCACTGCTGGTTTAAATAATGGCTCCTAACTTCTGAGCCATCAGGATGCAAACTCATGACTTCTTACTGTCAGGTAAATGTGTGTAGAACAGTACAACTCAACCACCTGGGCTGGGTGCCACTACTTTTTTTTTTTTTTTGAAAAAGCAACGGCCTTGAGATATCATCATCTAACTGACTGGTCCCAGGTAGAATGACTTTATTCCAGTCATCTGGTTGCATCTGGATTTCAACTCAGATCTGTATTTCAACAGTTCATAGGTGTACCAACTGAGCTAGGTCCGTGGTTTAGAGCCACTAGCCATTTATCAGGACTCAATCTGTTTGAGCAAGGCAGTCCTTCGTCTTTGACAGAGTATTTGTTGTGTGACCAGACACATTACTTTTTTTCGAAAGGGCGACGGCTTTGACATACCATCGTAGAACTGACCGGCCCAAGGTATTTCAGGATTGTAGTATTTTACCATAGCTACGCCGGACCGGACCCCAGACCGATTCCGGACCCCGAACCCCAGACCTCCCAGCCCATCCAGACTTCCGGAAAACCGGGGTATTCTGGAATTTTCGGAACGGTCCGGATCCCTGGTCTGGATACTGGTCCGGATCCCCTATATTGTCCGGAAAAAAAAAATAAAAAACGCCTCTACGCCTCCTACTCCTTGTCATGATTCCTCCTCTAGTTCTCATCCTACATCCCCTCCTCATCCTTGTCCTCCTCAACTCGGGACTCATTTTCTTTCTCATCCTCCTCCTCTTCCTTTTCTGAGACTGTTTCTCAGTTTATGCGCGTCATCCATGTGCAGGGGCCATGCTAATCTATTCCTTCCAATTTTGACGAATGTCCCAAGGGCAAGATTAGCATGGCCCCTGCGCCAAGATGACACACATTAATCCGGAAATGGACCAAATAAAAAATAAATAAACCAAAAAGGAGGAGGAGGAGGGGGAGGAGACGAGGAGGAGGAAGACATGGAGAGGAGGAGGAGGACGACAGAGGAGGCTGAAGTTGACGACGAGGACGAGGAGGAGGAGGAGGAGGAGAGGGAGAGAGAACGGAGGGAAGAGTTGATGAGGATGAGGACGACAGCCATGGGAAAATAGGGTGCAGTTGACGAAGAGGAGGAGGAGCAGGAGCAGGACGATGACAACGATGGCGATGACGACGGGAAATTAGAGCGGTGTAAACACGAGGAGGAGGAGGAGGAGGAGGACGGCAACGATGGCGACAACGACGGGAAAACAGGGCGGAGTTGACACTATCAAGGAGGAGGAGAAGGAGAACAGCGACGACAAGAAAGGATGGCGGAGTAGACAACGACGGGGAGGAGGACAGCGAGAAAGAAAAGGACAGTGGGGTTGGCGGCGAGGAGGACGACGACGAGGATGACACGAAGTGTGTGTGTGTGTGCGTGTGTGTGTGTGTAGGAGGAGGAGGACGATGGCAAAAATAGTGGCCGCAAAATCCCCCCTCCCAACAGTTAAAAAAAAAAAAAAAAAAAAAAAACCTCATAGACTTTCCAGGCCTTCCGGATCGTTGGTGAAGGCAGTGAACAAACACCCTGGACCACCCCAAAAAAAATTGTCCGTTGGGCTGGGGCCCACACATCCGGACCAAGATCCGGACCTGGACCCCGGACCCCGGACGGTCCGGATCCCTGTCCGGTGGTCTGGATCGTAGCCATGTATTTTACACATCTGCTTCCAGTTGAGTTCGAACTCAGGTCTGTATTTCAACGGTTCAGGGATGTACCAACTGAGCTAGGCCAATCTAATCAGACACATCTCCAATGCACAGGAAAGCAATCCTCCTTTCCATCTGGATTTCACCTATTACATCTTCAAATTGACCTGCACAGAATCAGTCTGAGATTTTTCCTGTTGTGTGTGTATTGCTGCTTGCTTGTCTGATTTGCTGAGGTTTCTGTGTTTTGTGTGAGTTTGCTGCACGCTTGCATGTCTGCAAGTCCATGTGTGATGATTGCTATGCCGAGTACTAGCTATGTGCTTGCTCTGTTTTTCTGTGTTCCCAGAATGGGTAAATCAGAAACAAGGCCCCGCAAGGGCAAGACTGAAATTGTGGACCCGATGTACGTCTAGAAAGGCTATGACAGACAGGCACACAAGTAGAATTCGGGCAGTACCTGACAAGGATTTTCCAGTAACTCAGGTAGGTCCAGCAGTAGTCTGGTGGGCCTAGAAGGACCCAGTAGCTTTCCAAAAGGCCATGAGTAGTCAGGGCCCAAACCTAGGTATCGAAGAGGTTAGATTCAGGACCTACGGGAGATTTGCAGGCCGCGATGATGTTCCTGCCAAAAGTCAGGAACTCTCTGTAGGTCTAGTACCCCGGAGAGGAAGCGGCAGGAGCGGTACCAAAGCCTTAGTGAAGCTGTGAGGCCGAGTTGCAAGAGTACATCATTCGCGTGGAATGAGTGCGGCAGGATCTTACCCGACAGTCATGCTGCTGCTCCACCCAGAGAGTGACGTTAGGGGGAGCTCCTGCTGAGCGGAGCTGGAGGGTGGAGAAGGAGATCTCCTGTGGAGTAGTAGGAGGAGGGAGAAAGCCTTGGCTATGGACCTAGAGGGTGAAGCACCCAATGCCAGGCTATGGAGAAAGGTGAGAGAAGGGTGCAGAGATTGAGGATGGGGGAGTGAGAGAGGAACTGACATGAGAGATTCTATGGCTATGGTGGACCTGCATCTTCACTTCCGTGGTTGCTGCTTCCGTGTGTGGGTTCCAGTTGCTCTTGGACTTCAATCGAGACCATGGATATGGTGGAAAGAGATGGGAGACGCATAGGAGAGATTATGTTGTCCTGTGAACATCCGTGATGAGCATGGCTGTTCCGCCATAGTGCTAGTTGCAACCAAGGACATAGAAGTGAGGTTATGGCCGAAAGGAGGGCTCTTTGAGTGCTGACAATAAGGGGGATTACTTGGACATGATTCCTGTTCATTCATTCATTTGTTGTTGTATTTAATTGTCTGCAAGTCAGTGCAAGAGTATTAGTAAGGGAGAAGAAGATGACAGAGGGAGAGAGGGGAGGGAAGCCATGGGTCCAACTGGTAATTCTTCTTCTTCGTTCATTCTGTTCATTCTGTTCCACTCTTTAATTCTCTCAACTTCTTCTTTTGAGTTTCAGCAAGTCTTGCATTTTCTCGCAATTTGAGTGCCAAGTGACATGCAGAGAACTGGCCTTGCATTTTTGCTTATGCATTTCCTAGTAGTACACAAGAGGAGGGAGGAAGGAAATAGGAGGTTGTGACGCACGAGCTTGTGTATGAACGGCTTCCTGAGGGGGTGCTTCTTCGGTGACAGGGCTCAAACTAATCCAGTTCCAGTTCCTCTACCCAGTCCAGATTGCATTCCCGCCAGATGATGACGTTGGGGCTCAGCTTGTCTTGGTCAACATGAGGCTATAATTTTGGTTCTCCGAGAATTTCTCTGTTTGCAGGGCTTGTCCTTGATGCGCTCTAATGTCTGGGACACGTTGGCCCACCCCGACCCTTTGTTTTTGCATCTTTCGAAATTGTCTTTGTATCTTGTTGTGCTTTTCACTTACGACTTACGCGCGCCTTAGCGAGCGCACTCAGAATTCTCTTCCTCTTAGCTTTTACTAGTTCCAGGTATCACGGGTGCCTATTGGGATACTCTACAATGAGTCCTTTCTTTGTGCATGTACATTTTTGAGACGTCCCTGCAAGCCCTGTGAAAATTTTGTTGATGAATGATAGAATGGGAATCGACGCGGAATTTTAGAACTCGCACGCGGAATTTTCTTTCCAAAACCCTTCGCGTTT